AGACACTCACAATGCTGGCTATTCTTTCCCTATAGAAAACAAGGAGTGAGAGGCCAGGTCCCAGCCTCTGCACAAAGAATAGAGCCTGTTTAGCAAGTGTTTGTTTGGTTTGGTTTGGGTGCTGTGATTAAACCCTGGACTTTGAGCATGCTGAGCGAACACTCTAGCTCACAGCCACATCCCCAGAAAACGTAACAAATGTTATGCCCCATAGATTATTGATTTATCCCCAAGAATAAACTAAAACCTTTCCAAAAGAGTGGTGATCAGCTTTCAACAATGAGGAAGGGGCGTGTCCTGCTTGGGTTCATTCCCATCCCTCTCTTTAATACATACTTAAGGTAAAAAGAAAAGAAAAAAGCTAACATCCAAGTGGGTGAAGAAATCTGCACTGTTCATAAGATGCCCTAGAGATCGTCTTTAGAAATTGCCAGTCACCTCATGTTAACCAGGGGGCCCAGTTAGGCACAGGACAGGGGAAAAAATGCAGGTTCTGAGAGAGTTTCTGTCTCTAGAGAATAAGGTAAGAGTAATAGAGAGCATGAAAGTCCTCTCTTCCTCATAAGTGACCAAATGTTTACATAAGAAAACATCCTGTGTGCTTGTTGTTGTGGTGGTTGTGCTAATTAATTTAGATCATAGCTCTAATTCCCAGTGCCCCTACCTACAGGAACAAGGTCTATCCGAATAAAACTATTTTTTCAAGTATAATGAGCACTCTTTGGGAGTAGTATAAGTCTTTATGAAAGATCATTCATAAGACAGAGAAAAGAATCAAGTGGACTACCTTTAGAACACAACGTTTGGGCCATGCTTACTTAATGAGCTAAAGGAGAAAACATCTGTAAGCTTTATTTTATAGATTCATTATTAGTAGCATTGGCGTGTGTCTTAATTAGGGTTTCTATTGCTGTGTTGAAACACCATGACCAAAAACCAGGCTGGGGGGAAAAGGGTTCATTGGGCTCACACTTCCACATCACAGCTCATCATCAAAGGAAGATAGGACAGGAACTCAATCAAGCAGGGCAGGATCCTGGAGGCAGGAGCTGAAGCAGAGGCCATGGAGGATGCTGCTTAACGGCTTGCTCCTCAAGACTTGCTCAGCCTGCTTTCTTATAGAACCCAGGACCAGCAACCCAGGGATGGAACCACCCACCATGGGCTGGGCCCTCCCCCATTGGCCACTAAATGAGGAAATGCCTTACAGCTGGATCTCATGGAGGCATTTCCTCAACTGGGGTTCCCCTCTTTCGGATAACTCTAGCTTGTGTCAAGTTGATATAAAACTAGCCAGGACAGAATGTGTGTTTCTAACTACACATGGTGAATAAAAATGCTGTACAGAGAGAGACGGCTCATTGAGTGAGGCACTCACAGCCAAGCCTGGTGATCTGAGTTCAATCTCCAGAGCCCACGCAGCTGAAGGAGAGAACCAATTCCTAAAAAAAAAAAAAACTGTCTTCTGACCTCCACACATGTGTGCATGCAGAATAAATAAACCAAATATAATAAACGAAATTCTAATAACTTAAAGATATGGTATTATTAGAAATCAAGATTTTTCACTGAGAGAAAGAGACATGTATGTATAATCTTACAAGAAAAGTTAAAAAAAACTTCTTTGAATTAGAAGTTACAGAATCAGATGCTTGGGAACATCAACAGCCAGGCACATAGTGTGTGCCTCTACTGACCAGATTTGGATTCAAGCATGGTGTGCCCGCTGTCAGGAACCAGAACTCCTTGTGGATAAAGCTGAATTCACATCTGGGATAGGAAACTCACAAGGTGAGCTTGGAGCATTTTGTTGCTCCAGGAAGCACAGCAAAGTTTAATGAGACTCTTTGTAAGGTCACAGAAAACAGCTAACGGGGCTCTCGCTGGCTGGAGATGCATCCGCGCAGTGGTACAAGCATCAAGGCAGTGATTGTTGTTGCTTACAAGGCGCAAGCAACATCCACTGAGAAACTTCCTCACGGCAAAAGAAAAAACTTCGAAAAGACCGAATTTAGAACTCAACTTACCTTTCTTAGGAAAGAAAAAAAACACCAAATAGGCCTGTCCGAGGGAAAGAAAATGACAGGATTCCAACTAACAAATGGAGCAGGAAATCAACATTTTGTGACCTGCAGTGGGGCAATAGCTTAGACAGCCAAGAGATGCTGGAACCACGAAGGGAAAAGACGGTGAGTGGTGTTAGCGGGGTACCAGAGCAACACCGCTCTGATTATTTGCGGGACGTCGGGAGAAAATGCAGCAGGAAGATGAAATGTTGCACTTAGCATTCCTGCAACAGTAGACTCTTCCTGCCATGCGTCGTGTGGGGCACCAACTCTCGGCTATGCCATGTCTGAGGAAAGTGTTGAACTTAATCAAGACTCGCTCCCAGTTTGCAGGAAATAGAAGAGGAAGAATCGGTTAAATGTCATCATTTGGAAACAGATAAATCAGAAATGTGATGTGTTCTACATCACAAGTGTCAGGAGTGTCGCGGGGAGAGGCACAGTTCCACACTGCCACCTGCAGCCTGAGGAGTTCGCTTCGTCCTCTAAAACTGGATCCTTAATTTTTCCACGGAAAAGAACCTCAGGGCAAGCCAATATGAGGCAGAGGTGGGGTTTATTAAAAGACATTTTTAAGTAGGAAGTTAAGAGAAAAAGAAGCCCTGGGGAAGAGGATGAGGCACCCGAGAGCTTGGCATGGCTTCTCCTAGGAGAGTTGCGTTTCCTTGTCCTTACTGTGGTCATAGTACTGGTGGTTTCTGAAGTCCTTGCTGAGGAATTTCAATGAGTCTCTGCAGAAGCCACAGAGGGGCGCTGCTTGCTGGCTGTGCTCTCTGGCGCATGCTCAGTTAGCTTTCTTACCAGCCCTCCCAAATGCTTTTTTTTTTTAAGTTGCCCTGGTCATGGTGTTTTTCACAAAGCAATAGAACAGTGACTAAGACACTAAGCAAAGCAGAATTGCCCTCCCTAGTGTGAGTGAGTCTCAGCCCATTCTGAGTAGGGGAAAAGAGTATTAAGAGAAAATTTGTTTTGCTTTTCATGTGTGTGAATAGTGGTAGGGTGAGCATATGAGTGCAGCTGCCTTTGGAAACCAGTAGAGGGCGTCAGGTCCCCTGGAACTGTGTTACAGCAGAGGCCTTTTGACCCTCACATTATATGAAGGTCCTTCGGAGGCTTTGCTCTCCAAGTAGGTGAGTAACATGAACGCGACCAGGGATGCTGGAAAGAAGAAAGAAGAAAGCCAAAGAAGAGGGCTAATGCCAGGCAGGAGCATAGCAGCAGGTCCTCACTCAGTTAAAGGATACATTACAGGCTGGCTTCCCTCTGCATTAATCTCTATTGTGCCTGAGCTGCAACCCTAGTGCTTTTGAAAACCCAGCATCAGCAGAATTTTGCAGCTTTAATAGAATGTACGAGCAACTGAAAGTTCGCAGAGCCTTTCCTTTGTCACCTCCTGACCTTCCGATACTTCTTGTAAAAACACTTTTATGTTTTTCCACATAAATGGAATTAATGCTTTTTTTTTCCTTCTGTGGCATGAACTCACGGTGGGTGGATGTTTAATAGTTTGCAAGTAGTTTTCCAATGTCACATTTCTGTAACGGTGTTACGGAACAAAACTAATTGTCATCTGTATTGGAGGCAATTCTGTTCACAGCAAGATAAATTGGATTTCTAAACTGTGATTTCCATTGTATTACCTCTGCGTAGCATGAAAGTTATCCTGATGTGCACAGCAGTCAGGCTACTTATGAATACAGTGAGGGCCAGCATTGTGCTGACTCCATCATTTCTCCCTTCCCCAGGGAGAAGAGAAACATAATTATGCCCCACCGTCTAATGGAAGAGGTTAATGAGGGTACAGTGTTTTAAATATCAGTGTGAACATTCGAAGACTCTAAGGAAATGACAGACTACCTAAGAGGGCTAGGCATCATTGTGAGTTATCCAATTTGTCACTGAGGACTTCTGGGTATGTGAATTTTTTTTATAAAGTCACTTTACAGATATATACATATATAGTTTTTGTATGTATATCAATTAAAAACAATCCTATCTTAACAATTAATAAATGTTGACCTACTAATCATAAATTTTAATACATCGGATATTTTCTCAGGTGGCATTTCTATAATTGATGAAAATAACATTTTCTAAGTGAACTAATGGAGTAAACCTTGGGTGCATGCACCACTATAATTAAAAAGGCTAACCCAAAATAGTGGTGAACACCTTTAATCCCAGCACTCAGGAGGCAGAGGCAGGAGGATCTCTGAGAGTTCAAGATCAGCCTGGTCTATATAAGAAGTTCCAGGACAGCCAGAGCTGTGTAGAGACCCTGTCTCACCAAGGAGAGGGGAAGCATTAAAGGTCATATAGGCATGAAGTCTGGATCTGGTTCATATTTGTATGACTCTTGCCCACACTGCTGCTGTCATCCTGGACAAATTACTTAAACGTACTCCTGCTGTCTCATCCATAAAAATGGGAGTACAACAGACATGTCTTTCCAGACAACATGACTAAGGCAACTTATAGAAGAAAGAGTTCACTTGGGGCTTATGGTTTCAGAGGGTTAGAGTCCATGCAGGGAGCATGGCAATAGGCAGGTAGGAATGGTACTGCAGCAGGAGCTGAGAGCATTTTGAGACATCTTAAGACAACAACCATGAGGCAGAGTGAGAATTAGATGGGAATGGTGAGGGTTATTGAAACCCCAAAGCCTACCCCAAATGACACACTTCCTCCAACAAACTCACATCTCCTAATCCTTCCCAAACAGTTCTACCAATTGTGAACCAAGTATCCAAATATATGAGCCTGGGGGGGGCATTCTCACTCAAACCACCACAGAACATTATAGCAGTTGTATTCTTTAGAAGGTTCAATCAACAATGGACTCAGAACGGTTCCCAAGTCATCAAGTCATGTCATAAGCCGTCTGCATTAGTATAAGCTATAAATATCACTTCCTGACTGAGCAATGAAACTTACCCAGGCATCCTGGAACATTTCCTCAGACTCTCACAGGCGGCAGTATGTTGCCTTACGCTCATGACAAGTATCTCCGAAAGAAAGAAAACAATTAAAAAATAGACAAAATGAAACAACCCCACTTCCCAGTTATTTTATACCAGCAATATTTTCCAGCACGGCATGGAAACGTGGACCAGCCAGCAGTGCCTGTGCTTCCTCCCTCTATGTCCTGTCAAACGCTTATAGGATCTTGGAAAATATCACCACCAGCCACCAGCAACATTCCCACTGTGAGGACCCACAGTAACATTCCTTTGTTTGGGGGCACGGGGCATCTACAGATATGGAAATCAGGCTGAGAACTGACAGCTGACGAGGGCTAAAGGGAGACAGGGAGACAGAGCTGCTCTGTTTCAGAAAGAAGTAAAACGGGAGAATTTATTTAAGAGCAGTGTGTTCCCCGTGCTTGCTAACCACCAGGCATAATTACATGCAAACGTGGCTTCCCAAGCAGCCTGGGGCTGGGCAGCTCTGTCCACACTTGTGCTACTGCAAACTGCACACGGTTTACATTCTTAGCACTAAACTGCTTTTCTTCGTTCTAAGGAACACACCATCTTCACCCAGGCACAGTCTAGAAAATAATGGGTATTATCAAATGGAATAAACATGAATGAACATACAGCACAGTACTGGGCTTTGTGGGGGTCACAGATATTTGTGAATGAATGAGCCAAAGGATGATTTGTGGGAACTGGTTCCAGATCATCTGTCTTCCAAGTTGTGATCAAGAAAGAGAAAGAAAGGATAGTAAGAACGAGGGAGAGGGAGAGAGAATTGATATGTTCCTTAAGTACATTGAATACATGACTTTATATATACAATTCTATAGGGATTAGAAAACTTAGGGAACTGACTTTACAGAGTTGTACTCTGACTGAGAGACAGACAGACAGAGACAGAGAGACAGACAGAGAGAGAGAGAATATATACTTAGATGTAAAAGAGAAGACAAAATCACTTCCATACATGGTGGTGCACACCTTTAATCCCAGCACTCAGAAGGCAGAGGCAGGCGGATCTCTGAGTCCAGTCTGGTCTGCAGAGTGAGTTCCACTATATAGAACTAAAACTGTGTAGTGAAACTCTGTCTCAAGGAAACGAGCAATAACAAACAGAAGGATAAAATTACAAAGTGCTCCTGTAACCGTCTACAAGATTGTTTCTGTGACCTGGACTTGGAAGTTTTTCTGTTCACCAAGATCCTGGTAAGAAGGCACATGACTCAGAGGTTAAGAGCACTGACTGCTTTTCCAGAGGTCCTGAGTTCAATCCCAGCAACCACATGGCAGCCTACAATCATCTGTAATGAAATCTGGTGAACTCTTCTGGCTTCTGGCCTTCAGGCATATATGCAGGCAGAACACTGTGTAAATACTAAATAAATAAATCTTTAAAAAAAAAAAAGAAAAAAGGAAAAAAAGGCACAAAGGCAAGGAACCAACAAGCAGCAAACCACCCATCACCACTTATATAAAGAACAGCACCAATGAACAAGAAGAGACAAACAAGGCTGTCAGATTTGAAAATAAATTTACGCCACATAACCAAGTGGTGGTAGAGATGTGAGCTAAGAAAAACCCACCTACTGGTGGGAATGGAAATTGTTTTTTAAACTTCCTTTGGCATTATCAGGTCAGGCTCAAGATGTACATAACCTGGAACCTAACCAATTCTAGAAAAACCCTGCACCAAGTAATACATTCAAAGAACCATCATGTATTTGAGGTATGGGGGCACTGGAGGTGCCAGGAGCTGGGTCCAAAGCAAATGTTCATCAACAGAGGATGACCATAAAAATTACAGTCTCATATAATAAATGTGAACTACAGCTGCGTGCAACAAAGTGGGTGACTCTTAGAAACACAATTAATGAGAAGCCACCCAAGAATACGTATAATACTACAAAGCTGTAAGAACTAAAACAGCATGCCATTGGCATCAAAATGGATGCATAGACCAATGAAGCAAGAGAGAGAAGCCATGGACCAAGCCACATTCATACAGCCAGCTGCATCTTGACAAAGGTGCCCAGAATAAAGACGGTCTCTCCAACAAATGGTACTGACAAAACCATATTGTGTATGAGGAAGAATACATCTAGGTCCCTTCCTCTCATCATACACAAGTATTAACTCAACAGATCCAAGAACTAAATAGTAAACCTAGAGATATGAGATCATTACAAGATAATATGGGGAAACTTCTTGAGATATTGGCGTAGACAATGAATCTTTAGTAGAAACCTACAGATAGAGGAAACAAAATGGAAATACACAAATTAAGATTGCCTGTAATTAAGAAACTTCTGCATTACAAAAGAAATAACAGAATTAAGAGACAATATACAGAACAGAAGAAAATGTGTGCAAGTCATTCATCTCACAGGCTTGATATCTGGGATATATAAGAAAATCTGAGAAGGAAATAAAGAAAAGAAAAAAATCAGAGCATCAGAAAAAGCAAGCAATTCAATTTTATGAACAGACTGGAGAATGATGTGGACATTCCTTCTAAAATTGAACAGAAGTGGTTAATAAGTATGTGGGGGGAAATGTTATTTCACTGGTCACTAGAGAAATTTAAATAAAAAACACAACACAATATCATCTCACCCTAGTCAGAATGACTAACATTTAAAAAATTGAAAAAGTTCACAAATAGTGGTGAGGATTAGAAGAAAAGAGAATTCTCCCATGCTATTTGTTTGTAGAGATGTATATTAGTAGAGCCATTCATGGAAATTCCTCAAAAAAAAAACCTAGAAATAGAACAGCCTGTGGCCCAGCTATTACACTCCGGGATACATAGCAAAAGGAAATGAAACGCAAAAAGATACTTACCGGCATTATTAACAGCAGCCAAAGTGTGAATCAACCCAGATTCCCTCCATGATAAAGACAAGGGGAGTTGGCAGTGGCGTACGTGCCTAGCACAAAGTCTGAGGTTTGATCCCCAGCATGGGGATAAACTGGGTGTGGTGGTCCAGCCTTACAACGCCTGCACTTAGTAAGTGGAGAAAGGATGACCAGAAATTCAAAGTCATCTTCAACCCATGAGGCCAGACTGAGATATACGAAACCCTGGAGGGGAGGGGTGAAGGGAATGCTATATTTACGTAAGGAAATGCACTTCAACCATTTTTTCAATTAAAAATCCCACCATCGACATGAATGGAACTGGAAGTCACCGTGTTCGGAGGGGTAAACCAGACGCAAAGACAAACACCATGTGTTCTCATTCATTTGTGGAAACTAGTAAGGTGATTTTGTAGAATCAAATGAGTTGGTGACCATTAGATAATAAGGAGAAGCCAGGGCAGTGAGGACAGAATAAAGGTCAATAAAGGACATCAAACATAGTACACGAATTACTTCTGGTTCTTCAGCGCAGCAGGGTAGTAATTAAAACATTCTGTAATATCTTTCAAAATAACTAGAAAAGAATATGAACTCCCAAACCAGAAAATGATTAATGGCTGAAGAGATGGAAATACTTAGTAAGCATGATAACAATGTTACTGTTATTGGTTGAATTGCTATCATGTACCCCATCAAGATGGACAAACAGTATACCTGAGTGAGAAAAAATAAGGATTATTCTGTCTATATTAAGTTGAAAGCCAAGCAATGCTATATTGTTTGTGGACTTAAAAACATTCAGGAAAACTAAGAATAATACACTCAGATTTCAGGGCGGTGACTACTCTGAGTGTGGAGAGAGAGCGTGGACTTCGAAGGTCACAGAGGAGGCACAAACTCATTATCCAGATCTCAAATTCCTAGGAATGTGTCACATTGCCATTCTTTGGGATTTGAATATATTTCATATATACTCTTTTGTATCTTTGTACTATTAGAAAAATGTTGTCTCTTAAGAGAGTGAAGAGCTGGAGAGATGACTCTAGCAGAGAACCCTGGTTTGGTTCCCAGCACCCAAGGCTCTTAATCTCCTACAACTATAGCTCCAGGGAGGGGATCCAGCCCTCTCCTCTGGGAATCCACAGACTCACACATAGACTCACACATATACATGTAATTGAAGAGAAGTTTTTAAATAAATAAAAGAAATGACAAATGGCAGAGCAAATATTTATTGTATATGTAATAAAAGGAAAACATAATTAAAGACATAAATAAAAAACTCCTACCAAATACTAAGAAACAACACAGCAGAAAATAATCAGAGAATATGATGGTGCAGCTCATACAGTAGAAATACAAGCAGAGCTTAGATACCCAAAGCATTCCTCCTTACTAAGCACAGCAGTGTGAATGAAAATAATTTGTATTTCACTCACTAGACATCAGGATTGTTAAGGGCAGGAAAAATGAACCGACAAAGCCTTATAAGGGACAATTTGATGTGACCCATTAAAAATGTAAATATTTTTCACCAAGCAATTCCATTTCTGTGAATCATCTGATAAAAACACCTATACATTTGTCAAGTTTTGTATAAAATATTCATTTTGTATTTTTTGTAACAGTGGGAAACTGGAAACAGACTTTCCATCCTGTGGCCTTGTGGTCTCATTGTGGAATCAAAATTCTATCCAAGCCAGATAAGAGACAGCGAGGGGAGGAACAGGTGTTGGAAAGATGATCAGGAGGGCGAGAGGTCACATGACAGTGAGGGGGAAAGGTCACTGGGCATGCGAGGCACAGACGGCAGAAAGGGGTGGGGGACAGAGACAACAAAAGCTCTGTTTTCAAAATGCCACAACGAAACTCAATCCTCTGTAAGCAAATGTTTTTAATTAAAAAGTATATCATTGCTAGAATAGAAAAATAGAGGTCCCTAAATAACTTCAACAAAATTTTAAAATTATATTCAAAAGCAGGAAGTTAGGATTACAGGGAGGAAAGCCAAAAGTTGGAATTGTTTCTTGATGACAATATTGCTGTTTCATCACTGATGTCATTTCCCAGAATCCTCTCTGCCAACTTCTCATTGCGTTTCCTAGACGAGACTATGTCCCCTAGTCTTCGTAGCTCTTTGTGGAGATAAGAAGTATCTGTCTGTCCACACTCCACCTACAAACACCAAAGGTTGCTGGGAAAACACAGATGTGTGAGCTGTCTACAGATATGTCAAATTATAGTGGACAAACTCAGATGGAATAAGGAAGATTTACATGTGACAATG